CTGTTATGTCATTCTATATTACCGATTCGATTAAATGCTATAACCATAATGAAGCTCTAAAAGAGAGTTTAATTTATAATTTTAGTAAGGAGCACCTACGAACTATATACCGGTACAGTATAGGCCCTACCTGGATTGGGAAGCGACCAATGCAGGTAGGCAGACTTTATATCATCTAAGGGAACATTTGATACCTCATTTTTCACCGAAAAAATACGAATTTCAGGATACTCGTAAGATCGAGCTAGCTCTTCAGTGGCATTTATCACCTATGAATAAAAAACAAGAAAAAATAGCATTTGTGTTGAAATAGTTTGTAGTTAAAAACCAGAAGCTGCAGAGGAGAATGGATGAATGCGCTGCTTTCACAGAATGTATTTTTCATTTTAAAAAAATCATCCGAAATTTGCTTTTTGTACACTACAAATCTTCAATACAACATATAAACAAAAGGAAAGACAGGCTCAGAGATATTTACTACAGGGATTTGGCCAGTAGTAAAATGTCGTTAGAGTGTCGTTCTTTCTTTCCGGCAAGATTTCAAAACGGTACTAGTGGGAAACGATTGGGCCATTTGCAATCAAATAAACCTGATAGAACTAGTGACACCTTCGGTACAGTGGGTGTTCTCAGCTTGGGGTTAAAGGACGCGGATCATTAAGGTTAAATCCGAAAAATTGATTAAAAGAGAACTAGAAAGATGATATTTGTTTTCTAGTTCCCTTTTAAAGTCTACTAGCTATCACAAATAATGTAGCACAGTCTTGTCACTGGATCAAAAAGACGTTCGCCATTTGTGTGCTGATATATTATAGCTACTGTAGATTGATGTACAAAGGATACATTTTCAACGTTATAAATGTGGCCTTGGGTCCGATGGGTCGCGCCTGACTGCTTGGCATTTAATTTGGAATGTGGGCTCAAATGTTGCGGAACGGGGACCTACTTGACGGAAGGAATTAAATAAAGTAATCTAATAATGAATTATATATTTACCAACGGTACAGATAATGCCATGTTACTTTGACCACTGCAAATCCAGACATCACCAAACAGAACGTCACTGATATTAGCTTTTGGTGGGCCAACGCTCCCAGATTCACCGATGGATTCCACAAATATTGTGTATGGCCCTCCAGCTGGCACTGGGTCTAACACAACACTCCAAGTGCGGTTAAAACTAGAAGAGACTTCATAAAGTGAATTGTTTAAGTATCCTTCTACAATTGTTATGGAAAACAAACTTTTAGGAAATCATAAGATGACCTTCGATAAATTTTAACCTCAAAATTGTGTCGACACAATTCAATCCAACTACAAGTTTGCAGTGGTGGCACCAGTATAGGGGGCGGGGGAATTCCCCCTGTTGTAGCAGTAGTAGTAGCAGCAGCAGCGGCAGTAGCAGTGGTAGTAGTAGTAGTAGTAGTAATAGTAGCAGCAGCAGCAGTAGTGGTTTAGTGCTGCAGTTGTACAGTAGTAGTAGCAGCAGAGGTAGCAGTAATAGTAGTAGAAGCAGTAGTATAGCCCTAGGCCCCGTGCTTCTAAAGAGTATAAAATTGCAAGAGGTCCGACTACCCTCATTTTGTATGCACGCAAGGAAACGTAAAAAAAAAAAATATATTACCACGAGATAGGAGGCGCAATATTTACAAACGAATTCTACAAACACACTTTAAAGGCCCTGTTTCATTTCATATTTTTCATATTCATATTAATTTATTATTAGGCCAGTAGTCTGGAAATCTCTTGCAGTTCTATACACTGTCCATACCTAAGCCACTAGAATCGTCTCACCTGAATATTTTTTCCCGTCCAGTGTAACCCGAATCAGAGCCGATTCCTCTGCGTAGCCCCATATTGTGGCCTGCATTGGCGCCATTTGTAGAACCATGTGATCACTGAAATACGAAGCTAGTTGAATCGCTGAAGAACCTTGTAAATTAATAATTATGTATATTATTATACTGTTAAACTTCGTATAACAATAATAATGATGTCAAATTTTCAGGCACGGATCATCCAGTGCTCACGCTGACCATCTCATATTCTATGATATTAATAAACATTTAAAAAAACCTATAACATTATTAAATTTAAATTTTTCATTATACATTAAAATTTGCATAGAAATGGTTGTTATGGTAATGACGTTTTATACTCCACTGTTTCATAAATTTCCAAGCTTATTTTATGAGGAAATTCATATTATGATGCAATACCGTAAAACCTCGAATTGAAGCCCAATGGACTTAATCTCGAGATGAAGCCCATCTCGAATTGAAGCCACCTCTTTAGTTTGCAAAATTAGTATTGAAAAGAAGCACAAAGGCTTCTTTTCGAGATAGTAGAGTACATACAGTGGCAGTGGCGGATCTAGGGGGTGAATATGGTGGCTAGCCACCCCACTTTGGTGACCGTAAAAAAAAAATGGTCACTCGTCTTGTGTGTGTGCTTCTAATGTATACACGTGTAGTAGGCTACTCTCGTAAAGCATACACTTTCTATTTAAAGCCTAACTTCTTTTCAGATGTCGTCCAAGAGCGTCTAGCCGTCTACTAATTCCAAACAACTCTCAATTGGAAGGGGCGGCCCTCTCGAAACACATGATCAATGGGGGACAGTGGAACACGTCCCCAAATATTTTAGGGGGTGGGAGGTTGGTCTCACATTTCGTCCGCAATGTAATAATTTCGTAAGTCAAGAAGATGCTGAAAATTGTAGGAATAAACTGCATAAATGACCCAGGTTTTAAGGAAGGGTGCTGTACAACATGGTGGATGTGGACTCACGAAATGTTCCCCTTACATTTCGATACAGCTCTGTGCCTGTCTCTTATACACATCTTGGGAAACGATTGGGCCATTTGCAATCAAATAAACCTGATAGAACTAGTGACACCTTCGGTACAGTGGGTGTTCTCAGCTTGGGGTTAAAGGACGCGGATCATTAAGGTTAAATCCGAAAAATTGATTAAAAGAGAACTAGAAAGATGATATTTGTTTTCTAGTTCCCTTTTAAAGTCTACTAGCTATCACAAATAATGTAGCACAGTCTTGTCACTGGATCAAAAAGACGTTCGCCATTTGTGTGCTGATATATTATAGCTACTGTAGATTGATGTACAAAGGATACATTTTCAACGTTATAAATGTGGCCTTGGGTCCGATGGGTCGCGCCTGACTGCTTGGCATTTAATTTGGAATGTGGGCTCAAATGTTGCGGAACGGGGACCTACTTGACGGAAGGAATTAAATAAAGTAATCTAATAATGAATTATATATTTACCAACGGTACAGATAATGCCATGTTACTTTGACCACTGCAAATCCAGACATCACCAAACAGAACGTCACTGAGTTGAGCTTTCGGCGGGCCAACGTTCCCCGATTCACCGATGGATTCTATAGATATTGTGTATGGCCCTCCAGCCGGCACTGGGTCAAAAACAACGCTCCATGTGCGGTAAAAACTAGAAGAAACTATAAAGTGTAAAGTTCGAAGAGGCTGAATTCATTTTCTTAGTGAAAGCGTTCGTGGTTCCACCGTGCGCCTACAAATAATAATGTTAAATGAATAAATAAATACTGTATACTATAAACATAATGGCACGGTATACATTTACAGGTACTACGCTTTCACGTTAGATAACAATACATTATTGATTGTAAGCCTACACATATGATTTAAATCGCCTATAGAAGTGAATAACGTTACTATGATGATAAAATGAAATGCTATGGATACGGAATATTCTGATAACGCATGTATGATACAGTATACAGTATTATGCTTACCTGCGTGTGGTCTATATTTTACACAATGTACACCGCCCGTCCTGCCTGTGAATTCCAAATTGAAACCAGTAAAACATTGAAGCTTCAACCATGGACCTATCTTATTTAATAGGCTTCAACGCTATCTACTGTACTGTTATATTTTGCTACTTTTCCTATTCAATGCGCTTCGTTGCACTTGCACATACGTCACAATTTAATCCTAGGCCTATCGTAGCAACTCCATAGGCCGATGTACAGTATTCATGTTGAAAAGACCCCACGCACTCTTTAATTTGCAAAGGTAATCTCGAGAAGTCGATCTCGAAAAGCCCATCTTGAATAGAAGCTAATTAGGAATTCTGCCTTGGGCAAGCAAAGGCACTCCTAAAGCCCCCCCCCCCCAACATGGTTACGATTATTACGGTTATTTAAGGTTATCGACTGTTAATAACTCTCTCCATAATTATCTGTTTGCGCCATGACCATCTTTGATGGATAGTGCCGCATTATAAATACAGACTTAATAATAAATCTTTTTATTATTAGTAATAGTAGTTAGCAGTAGCAGCAGCAACAGTAGCCAGTGGTGGATTCAGGGTTGGAGGGTCGGGGTGGGGATCCTGCTAGCGAGGGTACCCCTACATTTTTCAAAATTGAAGCTGTTGATTTGTTTTATGATTTGTTGACTGCCGCTATAAATGATACTGTCCCCAGATTTAAACATCGTAGAAAGTTACCACCATGGTTTGACAATGAATTGAGGCAGTCTCTATATTTAAGTGAAAATGCTATAGGAACATGAAAAAGAAAAACAATCGCTTGGCATTTTTCAGTTATCAATAAATTCAGGGGTATTTCCTTCGTCATGGAAAGTCGCCAATATTACCCCTATCCATAAGAGTGGGCCCAAGAAGCTAATTTTTAATTATCGTCCGGTCTCGTTATTACCTACATTATCCAAAGTGTTTGAACGAATAATTTACGATGCAGTCTCAAACAATGTCGTATCTGTTTTGAGCCCAAACCAGCATGGTTTTGTGTCGGGGAGATCGTGTCAAACCAACCTTGCACTGCTTCTTTCCACTGCATATGATGCTATAAATGGAAAGAAGCAGTGTGATGTGATTTACACGGATTTCTCCAAAGCGTTTGATTCTGTTCCTCATGATTTTCTTATTTTTAAGTTATCTAAGTTTGGTATCTCCGGTTATCTTTTGGAATGGTTTAGTGATTATTTAAGAAATAGACAGCAGAGAGTTGTAATAAGTGGTCAGTCTTCTGATTGGCTACCTGTACTTTCAGGTGTACCACAGGGGTCAATACTTGGCCCCTTACTTTTCAATTTATTTATAAATGATCTTCCGTTGCAATAGAATTATTCAAACTCACTTTTATTTGCTGACGACGTTAAGCTTTTTAAAATAATTTCGTCTGTTCAGGATGCAGTTCAACTTCAGGAGGACGCAAGTCACCTCGCTGATTGGGCCAGAACCTGGGGGCTCACGCTTGACATTCAGAAATGTAAATTTATGTCCATTACTCTAAAAAAAAACCAATTCTGTTCCGTTATAAATTAAATATGCAAGAACTTGAGTTAGTCTCTATTCATAAAGATTTAGGTGTTTTTATTGATAGTAAGTTAAATTTCTGTTACCATGTTAAATATATTGTGTCAAATGCTAGTCGAATGATGGGTATGATTTGGAGAAATTGTAGGTTTGTGAATGATGGGCCTGCTCTAGTTTGCTTGTATAAAACGATTATTCGTCCGCACTTACTGTTCTGTTATTATAAACTCGATTTCTCCAAGTCAGGCCCATCGTATTGATAGAATACAAAGAAGGTTTTTATTTTTTAGCTAAGACATGTCCCGATTATACTGTTAATATTGATTCCTTAAGTAAACGCAGATTTGTTTTTGATATGCTGTTTTTCTACAAAAGTTTAAATTCAGTATTTGATTGTAATCTTGTATCTTTGTTTAAATTTAACGTTCCTAGTCGTACTCGTACTAGAAACTTAATCTATGTTCCATTTGGTCGGGTTGACGTAACTAAGAGAGGTTTATTTCAAAGACTAGCTGTTACATATAATAATTTAAGTTGTTCTGATGAAATTGATATTTTTAAGATAGTTTATCCTCGTTTAAGCTTAAAATTAGTAAGGTTGTTTGATGTTAGTTATTATTTGTCTCTTTCTATGTGTATATGTTTTTCTCCAACCTGTTAGTGGGGGTTCTTATCTCTGTTGGTTGAGAATTAAATAAATTAAAAAATAAATTTAAAAAAATAAATAAAAAAGGAGGGAAAAAAAAAGAAAATTAGGCCTATGTTTACTATGTCAGAGAGTGCCATTTCCGACTAGAAATTTAGTCTTCTAGAGGTGCCATATTATAAACGTTCTTACTCAGCTCCAACAATGTTGTGGCTGAGGTAGGCCTCACTATAGACTCTCCATCTGTGAAAGTTCCTCCCTGGGCCCCTTATATTTTAAATTCCTGGATTCGCCACTGGCAGCAGTAGTACGCCTAGAATCAAACGTTCCATAGGCCTTACAATGCTCTCCTTTCTCCTGGCTTCAGGCATGGCTTCTGAATCATCAAAGGGTTCAGTGCCTGGTTCAGCTGTGGTGGGGGAGAGATTTAGCTAATCATACATTTTTCTTACATCAGCCCCAACCATGGGAGGTGGTCTAGGCTCGCAATCTCTGAAAGCCTCTCCCTGGTCCCCCTTTATTTCGAACTCCAGGATCTGCCACTGGGATTTTGTGCGACTCAGTCAAAGATTGTGAAATAAAGAGTAGGCCTAGGTTATAAATAACTTGGTGGCACAAAATGTCGGTGTGAATGCTAATATTGTTTGACATGAAAAGAGTGCTATAAAACGAAACCCAGTGATCAGAACTAAACACAGAGAAAGAACTTTGCGGCCCAGAGAGTCGTGCATTATTTGCAGGACAATTGAAATGTATTTTTATAAGCACTGTTCTTTGGTTCATTGTATTTTATTAGGTATTTAAAATTTTGTACGAATGTTATTGACGATAAAATAAATAGAAGAATTGCAAAATAACCTAAATTCTACCATAGGTAAAAAAAAATGATGTAATATGGTAACGCATAAGTTTGGTGTTAAAATAACGAAATAACGTTGTTGCGACCCTATATTAACACTACTTTTCTGTAATGGCCACTTTTAATAGACCTATTGATTGAAGTTTTATTTATTATTTTTTATGTTTGCTTTAAATTGTTGTTTAGTTGTATCTGATTTTACTTTAAAATAAACGGTCTTGAAATGTTGTGGTCATTTTGTCACTTGGTACTTCCATAAAGGCGGTCTCGGTACGGTCTCAATTAGAGGGGTCTAGTATAGCCTATAAATATATTAGGCGGTGATGGTAGTGGTAGTAGTAGTAGTAGTGGCTGTAGTGGTAGTAGTTGTGGTGTTGGTTTGTGGATGGTAGTAGTAGTGGTGGTGGTGGTGATGATGGTGGTGTAAGTAGCAGTAGTGGTGTGGTGATGGTGCTGTTACTGGTAGTGGTGGTGTATCAACAAAATAGGCAGCAATGGCAATCGTTAAATTAAAGGCGCACTAACGTGAACTATGACGAACTAACCTGTAACAATGCACAAAACAGTCAGTACTACTTGAATGCTCGACATTTTTATGCTAAATTCAGAAAAGGTTAGTGATTGCAACACCATTCAACCGCAAACCTAAGTCATTGTACGTAACACAATCTTGCTACGCTATCAAGGCCTATAGTAATCGTTATTGAAATTACACATCAGCGGAATATTCATTGTTGTGCATTGAATTTAAAATTATTGAATCGAATAACGTTATTAGTGGAATATTAATATGTAAGAAAAGAGATATGGTATATAATGAGAATGCACTTTGCGTAAGCCTATACTGTTTACACAAGTACGGTATCTGTCTCTTATACACATCTAGATGTGTATAAGAGACAGCCGTGAAACAGAGATACGTCCTCTTCTTAAAGCATGGCATCTTAACCGACAAGACGAGTTTTCCGAAGATACTTTCCTATAGAAGAGATGGATCAGATGAAGAGATAAACTCTAAATAATTTCGCAGTAATGCTTTATACATACATTGTAGACGGTAAATAACATACATTTAATTCATAGTGGGGGTTCGGGTTCCAGTTACGCTTCTTCAGTCGATATGCCTATGCAACCAAAAATGAAAACTACAAAATTCATTTCTATTATACTTATACTTAATATTTATTATGGAAAGGGGGGATTACAAATAGGGATGATGAATCGTGAGATAAAATTGAAGATAAATTATGATTGTCCATTCACCAACTGTCCCGTACAAATGGTTTTTTTTTTTTGGTTTTTTTTTGGTGAAAATGAAAGAAGAAGAATTAATGTTAGAATAAATGTAAACAAGAAATAAAGCGAATGAGTCCAATTCAATGTCTCAAAAGTAATCAGCGGCGAATCCAATAACGGGAATTGCAAACAAAGATTTCATTATTGTCAATTGTACGCCATTGTGAGTCCAAATAGCAAATCGTTCATCCAAGGCAAAACCATAAATCATCCCATATCGATCAGACATGGGCCCGGCTTTTCCTCCAGCATACTGTACCGTCTTCAAAATACTCCATCCAACTAACCTAACTTTCGATTAGGACAGCAGCCTACCCGATCTCCCTTGAATTAGCTCGATCAGAGCTGAACGGTGTAGACTCGGCCCCATCTAAGTTAGTGAATTATGTTGGTGTACTCTGGCCACATGGCCAGAGCCACAACCCTCGGATGAGGTACCGCTTTCCTTTGACTTAGAATGCAATCGGCTTGGACTTCAGTGTCTTGTATGAAACTGTTCAGGGTATATATGTGGAATATATGAAACGTGTAGACTGTCGGCATCTTGACCTCTGACGATTAGTGCTAACGAATTTATCATAATGACAAAATGAATATTATTGTTTATTTTCCGTAAATATTTCAGCCGCACCAAAAGTTTTTCCTATTCTTTTTCCGCTCGAGTGTACTACCGGCAACATAACACAACAAACATACATACGTCATTTGTACATTAATGTCTAGGCGTATTCTTCCCCGGTGGTCCTACAATGTATAACAACAAACTTATAAATGCTAGAATGTTAACCCGATTTTGACGGGACTCGTCCCTGGCGCACTCTACATAAGGCTTTGGGCGAGTATACTCGAGCTCATCCTAAAAAAAAACAAAAAACAAAAAAAACCAAAAAAAAAAAAACATCAAAATTCAATAAAAACTTCGTCTTTTATTTTCCATTAAATTTTATTTTTAAAAGGAAAATCGTTGATACAAGAAATCCAAAATTAATATAAAATATATAGGCCTAGGCCTGTTTGTTCACAGAAAGATTTTGTGAATCCGAAAAAATTGTTGATTTAAGATTAATATAATGATACCGCATCATTTTATTCATCATCATTAATATAACACTTCGGCCAAGGCCAAGTTGCGTGTTACTTACACTTTTATTCAAAAAATTACTAAAAAGAATTTCTATTCGATTCTAATCTATTTAATGTAATTTATCAAAACAAAAATCAATTACAGAATGGAAACAAAAACCATCAGATACAAATTATTTACAGTTACAATAAAGATAACAAAACTTACTCTAGTATAAATTATGTAAAATACATTTGATCTTCCTTTATATCTCCAAGTACCAGCGGGTAATCCACTGCTATTCCGATGGCGTTAAATAATAGGACAAATCAAGAACAAAAAGGGAATCATTGGAAGGCTGACGATTTTACTTATATCTGATCAATACTGATGCCAATATCATTGTTTACGTGTTTTACTACACCGTACTTCTTATCCCAATGACCGAGGGATATGTGCCAATCAATGATAATTACTGATCTTATAAACTTGAACCTACCATCCTGCCTATGTATTATTACTAAATATGCAAAGTATCGTACTAATTACAATAAGGTCGCTGACGGAAGCGATCATACGGGCACTGGAGGTACTAAGTCTAGAAGGTAGGTCATATATTATATCATAAATAAATGGTGGCGTTGGAAGGTTATTCTCAACGCTGTATAATGCGCATCTTTTAAAAGTACATGGATACTCCCTCCAAAGGTATCGAACTTGAGTGATCATTGATTCACACGGATGTGAAAACCGGACTATAGATGGCGCTACCAACTCGTTTACAGTCACCGAAATCCACTGTTGATCATTCTCGGCACAACTCGACAATGAATTTACGCAACAGATCTGTAGACATTAAAACCACTTCGTTAACGTAACTGAATACTATTTTAATATTTTACTATTAGTAAGTATATAAAAAATGAGTACTAAGACAATGGACCTTTCTGGAGAGGGTCAATCAAACTTAACAACTGACCAATCAGAACAGTGTCAAGAATACGCGCGTGCCCAACAAACACATGTTGTCCCACAAGCGAACGTTTTTACGTACATTTACGCTAGACTGTTTTGTGTGACCTTAGCAACAGTGTCTATGGGCGGGCTTAGCTAGCCAGTCTGTACTCAAAGCATACAGCTATTCTTATTATATTTCCATGACTCAAAGCTTTCATAGTTAAATTGAGGGCGCCATTGAACGATGCTTAGGCGTATTTTTATAGGCTGGATCTACCCACTGATCTCTACTAATAGCTGGATTGCTCATTGGCTGGTTTTAGTAAAGCCACCGATGCCATGTTGGTGGGGGGGGGGTGGGGGCTACGTGACGTATCAGTTTAGACAAGTTTCTTTTAGTATTTGTTTAAATTATTGTTAAAAATAAGGATTCTTGCAAAACCTTTTAATAATAAATTTGAATTTAACTTAATGATTATTTTTAAATCATCTATCTACTTGACGTCACTTTTTATGCAGTTTAAGAAAGCGCAAGCAAAGTTATTTGCGTTGTTAGGGATCGACATCACTATAACAACGCGACTTCGCTCGTGCTTTTGAAAACTGCATAAAAATAGTCGCGTCTAGTGGTTATATGGTTTTAAAAAAAATTCCTACGTTAAATTTAAATTTATTATTGAAAAGTATTGCAAGAATCGTTAATATAACTGTAATTTAAACAAATGCCAAAAGAAACTTTTCTAAACTGGTACGTCACTTAGGCCCTCCAACATGGCGTCGGAGGCCTCACCTTTTTCTGAGCAATCCAGCTATTATAGTAGAGATCAGTGGATCTACCTACGGCAGCAATCTTGTTATGTTGGCACATCAGACTACGAAATGGCGACAACTGTTGTCAAATAAATATTATTCTGAAATGTAAAATCAAGAGGTCTCTATTTTCTAAATATACACAACTACCTCATACACGTAGCATTTTTATACAAAAACTTTTAAATAGAACCTACCTCAAATCCTTTGTCATTGACAACTTTAATATTTGCATTTCCGTGGTCGAATTCAATTGTAAACGAAGTACTGGTAATTGTTATATTGGTCGGGAATGGTCCAGCAAAAACTAAGTCCTTTTCGGCGTAGGCCACAGCTCTGGATGCCAAGGCAAGACGCCTAGAGACGTCTTGTTTGTATCGAGGATGGATACTGTAAGACGGACATGCAAACAAACTAGTGCAAGTGACTATGAATATAATGATAATGATGGTAATGACAATGATGATAAGAAGGATAGTGATTTAGCACCAAAAATAATCTAATTGCTTTTGTAAATATATTCCAAGAAGTTAATCTATAAGGTAAACCAATAATTGATGACGTATGATTGCGTAAGTAAACATCAATTGTTGTATATATGTGTAATTTTGCCCTACCTGACGTGTAAATGTACTGAATACTCAGTACGTGTGAAAAAAAAATTGTTCTTCTTGGGTGGGACTCGAACCCACCGTCTCCAGATCACTAGCCTGGCATCATATCTCTAAACCACCGAGCTTGCACCTGATGTCCAGGGTTGAATTCGAGTCCAAGCAGCGGGACTGACTGTTTTCACACGTACTGAGTATTTAGTACATTTCCCCGTCAGGTAGGGCAAAATTATACATACCTGATTCTCCTGACGCAAATCCAGTTATTGTCTATTCCATCACGACAATAACAATTACTATCAACATCAATTAGTTTACAATGATTAAGCTTACTATAACAATAATGATATTGATAATGATAACACTAACAAACTACATAATTCAAATGATGAATGATAATAATAAAATGGTGTTTATCATAATGATGTTGGTAATAACATTGTTAATGATATGATAATAATAATAATTATAATTGAAATAATGTTTCTGATAATAAGCCTAATATAACGGTGGTGGTGGTGGTGGTGGTGGTGGTGATGATTTTGATATTGATAACGATGACGATAACGATATTTTTAATGAAATGGTAATGATCAGTTGCAATAAAAATGATTTGATTTTTATTTTAATCCAAAACACATGGGCCTAATTGAAGTGCTACATATGATGACATATAAATGTAATTCATCAAAGTGATGTTTCACTTACGGTCTTAATGGAGATGTTGGGTCGGGAAGATCAACAGATACCGCCATAAATACATTCTCCATTCTTGGATTTGGTGCGTATCCGAAGTCAGCAGTCTGGTGCCACCTCAAAATTGGGTAGTTACCAATTAGTCCTGGTTGGACCGCATCTGATGTGCAGAGCTACAATGAAGAATGCGCAGATATTGTTTGGTTGGGTGATCTGTGTATTCGTAATCCATCATCAATAAAGTGTAAAGGCATAAGGCAAAAAAAATAAATAAATAAAATTGTTGTGTTGCCCTGAAATGGAAAAAATCGAGATCATCGTTCGGTCGGTAATACCTGATATAGGAAAGCCCTCAAACTGCAGTCCCTATTATGAAGACTTTAGGCCTAAGGGCACGTAGCTCGTAGCCACCACAATAGAACGATGGCAAGCTTGCCAAAATATATTCAAAGTATTGACAGATTATACTAACCAAGTGTATATTGTAATAAATTTAACAAAAATAAATCAGTTTAAAGAAACTTTTATTTGGCTTCGAAACGTAAAATACAATAAACTATGCCTTCTGTTTTACCGATTTTACGCGTGCATCTATGGCCCGATTTTGATAAAAAAAAAAAAAATACATGTCTGAAAAAAAAAAAAATGCCGACCCCATTTTTTGGAAAATTTCGGTCGGTCGCGGAGGGCAACACAACATTTTTTTTGGCCTAACAATTGCAAATATCATCTATATCGAAAATGCGTCTTTTGAAAAAAAAAAAAAAAACAACTTTATAAAACAAACGCGTGAATTCAATTTTACATGTTGTACCTGCACAAAACCAAATGGAAATTTCTTGTTGGTTAGTCCACCGGTTCCTTCGTACCATTTGTTTCTCCAGTCGTCTATCATAGCAGGGAATGTACAGTTGTAGGTGTCTGGGGCATTAGTGTTCCTTTCACCTGAGAAACAATTATATTACAACCAATCAGAAGACTGCTTTTTCATGCGCGCATGGTTTGAAATTTAACCAATTAGTGGTGTTCTTACCTTGGTACCATATTGCCCCCTTGATTACCATTCGACTAAAAGGATGAATCATGCTATTCCACAATATACTTTGGAAATTAAAAGATAATGACAATAATTATTATTATTATTGCAATTGCTATTAGGCCTATTATTAACAATATTATCATTGTCATTACCATTGTATAGTCATTAAGCCTATTATTAGATCTATCATGAATAACATTTTTATTAGGCCGATTTTTATTGTAATTAACTTACGTGTCGTCCCGGAAGGCACGCTTTTCTCTGCTTAAGTACTGGCATGCATCTATAGCATCTTGGGAGGACCATGCTTCTACTGGTGTGCCACCCCAGTTCGAAGATATAAGGCCGATTGGATATCCGAAGTGATTATAAAGATCTCTACCATAAAACCAACACACAGCTGAAAAGTACCAGTATCCCCTTCCCGGTTTACCTTGGCCAAGCGTGTCTGTGGATTGAAACCACAATACTCGTCTGTAAGTATTAGAGCCATTTTGAGAGCCCATCCCTTACGAAAATGACCAATTCATTCCAATTGGAAATTGAATTGGATTCAATATGAGTCAGTTGGATTGTAATTGGAATCAATTGGATCCAATTGGTTCCAATTAAGAAAAAAATATTCCAATTGGAATTTTGGAAAAAATCCTATTGAGATCAATTGGATAACAAATGTCCAATAGGATTTTTTTAATAAATCCAATTGGAATGAATTGGATGACAAATGACCAATTAGGAATTGGAAAAATCCAATTGGACAATTAATCTCCAATTGAAATTTTTTTTAAAATCCAATTTGATAAAAAATACCAATTGAACTAAAAAAAAAACAAATCCAATTGGAGCAGATTTCCAATTGGATTATAAATATCCAATTGGAATTTTTACTTATTCCAATTGGATAACAAATATCCAATTGAATTGCCTTTAAATTCCAATTGGATTATCTTAAAATTCCAATTGGATAGTTTTTCAATTCCAATTGGAAGAGAAATATCCGATTGGACTGTTTTAAAATTCCAATTGGATAACAAATATTCAATTGGATTGTCTTAAATTCCAATTGGATAACAATTATCCAATTGGATTTTCTTTAAATTCCAATTGGATAGCAATTATCCAATTGGATTGTGTTAATTCCAATTGGGATTTATTTGACCAATCAGAATGCAGTATTAACAGGTTTCTGGACAACTGCGTGATAAAAGTTATAAAGTTAAAATGCGCCATTTTTGCACAATGGGTGAGAGCATATGACAGGCTGTCCTGCTCTGAGTTGTTTTTGTTCATAAAAAAGTAAGTATTTTATCAATTTTGTGTTCAAATTCCTAAACTATTTAATACAATACTAAGCCTGGTCCTTTCTTAGACTTTTTTGAAATGATTATTGGTTTAGATTAATTACAAAATTGAATTTAAAAATCGAACATTGCCAGCCAAATGCCATGGGTGACCTGAGGGGCCTAGAATAGTGCAGTGTATAGCCAGGATGGGTAGATATGGCTGTGTAGGTGGGGCTAGGCTTTGTCTGCTACATATGCCATATCGTTAGGCCTGTCCAAGCAGGCTATGCTTGAACAGCCTAACTCAATAATAACAGGGTAATGGTTAGGCCAAGCCTAGGCCTAGTTCAGATTATTTCATATTTGTTTTAAACTTTTTTTATTTTTTTTAAATTTAAATTTGTTGATTTAGATAGTATAATGGCCTAACCTAGGCCAGCAGGGGGATACAATTTTTATAACTACCTAGTACTAGGCCTAGGCTAGTATTGGTAGGCCTATGTGAGCCCAGAGGCCTAGCAAAGGGAAGGCTAGGCTAGCCTATATCTCTAGGCCTTTAGTCTAGGCCTAGCCCTAGATAAAGGCATGCTAGGCCTAGTAGTACTGTTTAATTAATTATTGTTGATAATTAATGAATGATTATTATTATATCATCAGTATCACTATATCAAACTGCTTTTTATCTCTAGGCCTATATTGTTTTTTGATTGTTTTTAACAGATTAACTGAATTTTGAAGCGAAGGCTCTGCAAGTATCTGATGTCAGGTATTTTCTGTTGAAACTAAACATTAAATTTTAACCTCAACTTTCCAACAAGTGTCAAGGCTATGGGAATTGCAATTTGTGTTTTTGATATTGACCACTCCAAAAATGAATTTGTTAGCCAAAAATGTAAGCGTGCGTTTCAAGCTGTCGACCAGGAAAAGAATATTAAAAAAGGGTGAGTTAGATACTTAAATATGCATGTAGTACCTCACTCTAGCCATTCGCTAGCACCACTTAAAATACTTCCCAATGAGTACATTTTGGGAAGTATATGTCTTCAGGACAACTGAATTTTTTAAGCTACTTGTCCTAGGACATGTGAAATGAAATTAATTTTCCTCATGCTGATTAGCTTTTAAAATTAATCTTTATAATATTATTGTTTTTCAGAATGTCCGGTGCAGTTATAGAGAACTACTAGGACAATTGCAAAGTTACTGTAACAGCATGGTTAAGAAGATTGCTGACCTGCGAAACTTAAAGTGCCAGTACATAATAATTATTACTGTAGGTATGACTGTATATATTTAACAGAAACCAGATTTAAAATATGTTTTGTGAATATAGTTTTATATTCCATAACATTATTATAGCATATTTTTAACGAACAGGCTTTGTGCAGTATTTCATTTTTGTATTTTAAATAAATAAAATAAATGCAAATAACAATTGTTTCTTTTTCTTTTGTTTTAGATGTGTATAAGAGACAGGGCATACCAGCATTACCGTCGAAAGTTCTGGTGTCCATCTCTTTTATGTTATCCAATTGAATAAAATTCTAATTGGATAAAATTCCCATTGGAAAGTGCCAAAATCCAATTGGATAAAATTGGATTTTGGCACTTTCCAATTGGAATGTTACCCCAATTGGGTTTATAATATCGAATTGGATAAATCCCAATTGGAAAGTGCCAAAATCCAATGGGATAAAAT